AAAAAGGACGCACTTTACATCCGCAAACTGAAAAAAATCACATGCAAATTTAAACTAGAAAGAGGACGCATCAGCGTAACCATTTCCTATTTTCATACGCGTTTCTCGCAGTTACATTAATTTTTTCCTTATACAGAATCTTTCAGAGAGAAAAAAAACGTTAGAATAGTCCCTCATCTCCATTAAAATCGCGCGTAAACGAGGTGTTTTTTAAAAAGACCTTCCTTCCTTTTTTCCAGTCATCGCGTCGATCTTCAACTTTACTCATTAAACACAACGCAACGCATTAAACGCACTATCGCGCGCGTACACGTACGCTGATAAATATCCGGCATGACGTTCCCGATCGTCATGGGATTCGTGTGATTCAAAGTTCTCCGGAGAAGATCTCCGAGAGATCGACGTTGCTTCCGAAAGCGCGTATATTCGAAATTTATCCGGTGAGTAAGATCGCCGCGGATGCGCGATCCCCGAATCCCCCGTTGGGGATTTTTCCTTAGAGAGCCGAGGCGAACGAGAAAGAGAGAGAGAGACGTATTTGGCCGTTCACCGATAACGCCGATCGCCGCTCGCGCGTAAAAGCCCCGCTCTGTCATCCTCTGGCCATAGCGGCACGCTGGCCGATGGCCGATGCTGGAAAGTATCGATCCCTGTCGATTGGTCCATTGATATTTGTCGCCTGCCGATATCGCGGTTGCGACACGACCATATTTCGCGACGAGTTTACGATGATATGCTGTAATACGCTGCGGTCGCGGAGCGTGCGGCTTCTTATTTTCCAAGTCGCACCCAAACGATTCCGATATTTTTTTTCCGCAGAGCCGTTCAATTAGTAAAATAAATATTTTAACAAAAAAAACTTTTCTCATCTATAATCGTCGAATTATATATTTTTTCTATATTTTATTTTTCACTCTATCTCTCCTACGCGGCTATTTTTGCAATATTTTGCAGTATTTATTCACTCAGATAACGATCCGTCTCCGTTAACTCGAGCAAATTATTATTATCTCAACGATGCGGTGGATTACGCTCTCAACTTTGTTACTCTCGCCTGTATTGACTCTTCAAGTCGAATTAGAAACTTATTTACTAATAAGAGATAAACGCCCGACCGACCTCTTTGTGCCTCCGTTATTCAGACGCCCTTGAATTTTTTTTTGTCCAGCAGCGATCATCTTAATGTCACCGGTCTTTTTTTACTTGTTAGCTCGTTAGGAGAAAAATCGGCGATTCTCGGCGGGTGCCCTCGGCCCGGCCGCGGCCGGCTCGGCCTCAGGCCGCACGCGTGCCCGCCGCGCCGGCACCCACGTTCGCCAGCGACACGCGCGCGATAGGCACGGCCCTGCCTATTGACGTCCGCGGTAGGCGTGGCCTCGGTCGTGGCCGATAGAGGGATATATTTATCGCGCGCGCGGCTTTTCTCTCTCGCAACGCCGCGACACAACGTAACGCAGCTCGCGGGAGACGCAAGAAAGGAAGGAAGAACGAGGAGACTCACGACCCACCACCGCATTCGTTTGTACTCTCCTGCCCGCGTTCCGACCGTTCCGACAATGCGTACGTACTCGCGGCGCGGCAGCGTCGAGGTCGCGCGGTGCGCGAGAGCGGCTTCCTCGCGGCGCGGGGGATGACTTTGCTCCTCGTACTCGTCGCCTAACGGCGTGCGCGCGTTATCTGTGTTTATTATCTCTCACGCGACGCTGCGCTTTCCCCGAAAGGTGCGCGACAACGGCCGACAACGATCGCGGCATCGCGAAGGTGAGATCGGAGGAAGGCCGGTGAGAAGAGGATCGAGCGGCTGACAGCGGAGACAGAAAAGAGAGAGAAAGAGAGAGCGCGGACGGACCGACCGATAGAGCGAGCCCGTTAGCAGTGTGCGAGTAGTACGTGCGAGCGACGTGCGCGGCCGCCGTCGATCGTCGGGCGGCCGCGAGTGTCGAGCGCCGAGCGCCAGTGTTCGTCCGTCGCCGTCGTCAGTGTGGTGCTTGGTGCTGGTGCGGTGCGGTGCGGCGCGGCTCGAGTGTCGACAGACCGCGATTCCGGAGTCGTCATCGTCGCCGTCTCTAACGACACAGCCGTCTCGCGGTGCCGACGATCGCGCGCCCTCGGGACTCGGGACTCGGGACCAGAGCGACGTCGGGTCGGGGACCCGACTGACCCGAGAGCTCCAGAAGCAGGCGAGCCTCCGAGCGGAGCGCGAGAATGGCGGGCAACGGCGTCCCGGTCCTCCTCATCACCGCGAACGTCGGCAGCATCTTCGAAGAGGTACGTGCGTGTGCAATGTGCGTCGTCGACGTCACTCGTGCCCCCCGGGCGGCCCGGGCCCCGATGATACCCCGCGACCGGTGCGAGGACTGCGAGGCTCCGAACTCCGAGGCGCGGCTGGCCGACAGCCAGCCGATCGATCGATCGCGCGCGCTCTCGTCGATTTCGTGCGATTATTTATCCACGCGATACACGACCTACTTGCCGCCGGGCGTTGCGTCGCGTCGCGTCGCGTCGCGTCGCCTCCGTTCTCCTCTCCTCTCGCGCCTTACCTGCCGGATGCCGCGCGCTGGTCGGCGCGGATTTTTCGTATATTCGTGTGTACGCGCAACACGGATCGTACTCGCACACGTGCCGGGCGATCGGCTTCTCGTTTTAGGTAGTTCAACTCGGTTGAGAAAGTCGGTCCGCGGCGACATTTAAAGACCCCGCTCCGTTCGATCCCGTCGCGTACTCTCCCGGCCTCACCAAAATTCTCATCTTTCTCCTCTCTCTCGCCCTCGCCCCGTCCACGTGTTTTAATTATGCGGCGTATATCATTTCGACACGAGCATCGCGTTCGTTAGCCCCCTCGACGTGGTAAATCTGCCGTGATCCGTGACGTTTCGTACTCGCCGAAAGTTCGCGTGTAAACCACAGAATGCGACCTTGATGCTCCCGACATTTAGAAGTTTTGGAATTTCGATGTCATCATTTCAACGTTTATCCACCTGGATCCAAAATATATTATATAATTCTATACATAACAGCAAATTCTTGACGTCAATGGGGGGGGGGGGTGTTTTGGGGCAAAATTATTCGGTTCGATATTTTTCTTACAATTAGTATCACGCTTAACTTTTACTTTTACTCCAAGATCAACAACGAGAATATAGTAAAACTTCTGATCCCATTTTTACTTTTTAAAAATTTCTTGTATTTTTTTCTAGATTTTTAAAACAGATCCAATAAAATTGATTTTTTTTTATTTGAAAGTGGAGTGTTCTGTTATTAAAACACTCGTTTAACTTTTACTCCAAGCTCGACGACGAGAACGTAAAACTTCTGATCTCATTTTTACTTTTTTTTTTTATTTTTTGTTTTTTTTGCCCTAGATTTTTAAAACAGATCCAGCAATATTGGTTTTTTTTATTTCAAAGCGAGTGTTTTAAATACCAAAATACCCCCCCAGGAATCGCCGGTGATCCTACATATACCTATGCTCCAAAATATCGTAACACGTAGCGTGATACTCGAACCTGAAATCATTCATCAGTTTCTTTCTGAGGATTTTTATTAGAAAGCTCTTTGTTTCTAAGGGCAAGAAATTTCGGAACAGTTTTCGGGCACGCTTCTTACCTCTGCTATTTTCTCGTCGTTGGCACTTCCACGCGTTTGACAAACGTAAATGTATACGTATTTTATGATAATTTCTGTCGTAAGATCAACGATAATGCGGTATCGCGAGACGAATCGTCGCGTCGGTGGGATGACGTAACTCGAGAAGAAATTTTCGAGATATAGGTTTACAAGCTTTCCCTTGTCCTCCGTCGATTCGAGAAGCATCGAACGAAACGTCGCGTCGTTCCCTTTCGCGTTTTTCCCAACGGGATCTTTTCGCGACGAGACGTCGAGACGACGAAAGAGGAGTTCTCGTTGAACGATCGATTGAGAGATTCGCCCCTCAAAGCACTTTCTAGCGCTCTTCGCATTCCCGGTATCGATTTTCCGGCCTGTCAAGAAGAAAATTCATGTAAATAACTTTTAACGCGACGTAAGCGCGAATTATGTTCGGCACAACGGAAACAGAATATCTGGCAATAACAGTATAGGCCGCGATAATCTTTGGACGCCGGACGCCGCCGGCATCGCGGACGGAAGGGTTGGTGGGGAACAACGCGTGGCCCGATATCGAATCTCGCGTATACGCTTGTTGATACTTCCCTCGGTTGATACCAGCCAATTTTCTCGTGCCAGCATCAACGAGATGCGGGTCCGCTTCAGCGGGACACGCTCGCGTGGGCTCTCCGTTACCGCGATCGATTATCGTATCGTCATTTGCGCGAAACGGGAAGAAAAGAACTCTCCCGACGGCGGCGGCGCCGGGAGTTTTTTGTCGTCGCATCTCGTGGGGGTTGGTGGTGCGCCGCCAATGTGTGTCCTTGCGCGTGACGTTAACGATATCTATTAATATATCCGCGCGCCCTCGAACATCTCATTAAGCTTTTCTTTAAAGTGCACCAAGTATGAAGGATTTCATAGATTAATACGAGCGATTCTCTCCTTGCAGCCTAGTGTCATGCTGAAGATATGGACGGAAGAGTTTTTATCCGTAAGTACCATCCCCGTGCGCGGCTTTTTAACGCCGCGCCGCGCGCCGGTACCCTTCGACGCGCCGCGCCGGCCTGTTTGTTTTACGAGCGGATTCCTTTTTCAGACCATATCGAGGCTGGATCCGAAATTTATAGCGCTGCACTGCCAAGAAGTAGGTGGAAAGAATTACGAGCAGAGCATGAGGCACGTGGAGGACTTTGTTAGGTAAATGTCACGTTCTTCATCCCAGGTTCGACTCGCGTCCGACTTTTCTCTCCGCGATATAGAAATGAAAACACAGGTGTACCCGTTATTGTTGTCACTTTCAATGAAACACGCAACAAATTTTCATACGCGGCATGATAAGTCACGCTGTGTGTAGAACGAACCTTTCGTAGATTCCGAAGGCATCATGTTATAATCTTATTATTGATGCTTCTTGGAAGGTTTCCAAGAGCTATAATATTTGGCTATAATTAAATTATTAAGATAAGATCCTGTACGCAACTCGCCTGATGTTGTTTTTGCAAAATATTTCGATCTGTATCTATAACGTTTTAACTTCTGATCTTTATCATTGTATTATATCTAAACCTTTTATAAATATACCAAAACAGATAGCTTTCTCTTTCCACATATATGATATTGAATATGATTTAACGCATAACTGGTAGAAAGGAATAAAAATAGACGCATCACGCGTGGCTCTATAGCTGAGTGAGCCACTTCAAAAGATAATTGCTGATTGTATGATGATGATATTGACAGGGGAGAAATTCATATATTTTTTTTTAAAAAAAAAAAAAGGGTTGTTTGAAAAATTATTTATAAGAGATTTCCATCTAAGTGCTTTTCCACTGTATAACTTAACGCGACACGAAACTTGTTATATTTACAGATTACTCATGTCGTCGGAGGAGTTAAGGTTGTTTGACAAAATTAGGGTATTCCTTGACGAGGATTATTCATCCGCTGAACATTTCACAGTGAGTTGTGGGATATACTTTCTAGCGAATGTTCGATTACTTTAAACGAAGCAATATTTATTATCAAGATTCTTTTGTAGGCTCTAGGGAATTTCTACTTCGTGCACGAGTCCTTAAGTGATGTTTTATTGTGGGATTTTAATGGTACGTTACACGTTAACTTTATGAGGGATAGCTCTCAAGAAATATGTGCAACATTGTTTAAATTATTATGCAATTTTTTTTTTAGAGTGTACTTTTGTACCCGTAAGTGGAAAAGAAGTCCATTCGGGCAACATAGAAGCGGTTACTACCAAAGAGAAAGCTAAGTTTCCTCAAGAATTCTTCCCAGAATGCAAATGGTCCAGAAAGGGTTTTCTGCGTACCCGATGGAGTATTAGTGGAACAGTTTTTGATCTCATAAACATACATTTATTTCATGACGCGAGCAATTTTATTGCTATGGAGACGGTAAGAAATTTTTACGACTGTCATCTCATACACATTAACGTATGTTTGTGTGTTGCTTTATTTTTCTGTTTATCTTATTTTAACAATTTTTTTACAGTTTCCATCGGTATACAGTAAAACGCGCAGAAGAGCACTCGAGCACACATTAGATAGATTTCATAATGACAAGTATCCGAATGCGCCGTATTTTTTATTTGGTGACTTTAATTTTAGGACAGATACAGCAAGTGTAATAAAGGTAAGAATCGTCAGCAGTCAATGATAAGATTTCGATAAAAAGCAAGGAAGTAATTAGAGACAAATATATGAGAAACTCTTGAGATTATATTAAATTTTTGCAAATAAATTGGTATATTATTGTTAAAAGCAACTATATTCAGCAATACAAGCTTTAGCGATGCTTTTTACTTTGTGTATTATATAAATATATATTATTACATATCAATGAAATGAATATATATTAAAGTCCAACGTATTACAGCATTTTAATTTGTCTTTAATAGAAACTGACAGAAGATACTCAAGAAAGGAAGTTATCAAATAAGGGAAATATTTCGAAATTGCAATTTCACAATAGAGACGACGATCTCATATTAACGTTAGGCAAAAAGGAATTTTCTCACTACGAACATCAGAATGTTTTCATGAAAAATGGCGGTGAATGGGTAAGTTATACGTCTCATTTATGCATATATGTACATAATACGATATCCATATTCAATCGATAGATAAGAATGCCAATAATGAAATTTATTAATATTTATGCAGTTACGCGAGTATGATAAAGAACTAGGAGACTTTGAAGGAAGGTTGTTCGAGTTTCCGATCAGCTTCGTACCAAGTTACCCGTTTCAAGAGGATATTAACGAGCCTGTAAATTACATGCAAACAAGAGTGCCAGCTTGGTGCGATCGGGTTTTATTGAGCCCCACTGCGAAAACGCTAGTCCAAGACGTACGTACTTCTGTGGAATTTATATTCGCGATCGATACAAAAACAATTCTAAAATTGAATTGTAGAATTTGTTAGTCTAATGTAACTTTTGTGTTCTTTTGTAACAGATTGATGATTCTGAGGCAGTGGAATACGGTATAATCGGCTCGACTACGTGTATGGGTGATCACAAGGTAAGATTAAAAGTTTTCCAATCAGCATCTTTCTCTTACGTTTATGAAACGATACTGCGTCATTTTTTTTTTACTTATTATGCTGGAAACATATACTTACACGCTGCCTAGTTCTTATTCTGATAAACCATTCTTTCAATTATTATGGTGCAGCCTGTTTTTCTGGAGTTTCGAATGAATCTTTAAGCACTAAGGTACCTATCTATGAACTGTCTGTCTGTTCTTATCTGAAATCCCCTACATCTCTTTCACGTCTCTTGATTCTGTTAGTACTCCGTTATCTCGACAATAAACATATAGGGGCTTGTTTAATGTAGCACCTCCACACACGTAGTATCCCGAAGTATTTTACTTCTACATTATTTTGAAACTCTGTTCTCTTACTCTCATCATTCTTATCAGCTTCACTATCGTTATCATAGAACAATATATTGTACTTTTTCAATCTAATTATCAATACGCATTGTAACGCCTCTTGTATTTTTCTTTCTAATGCTGAACAACATTTCATTACATTATACACAATACATAAATATTTTGGTTACGCAACGACAATATTTGTTGCTACATGATAATGTAATAAAAAGCGGTAATAACAGTGTTAAAAGCTGATGATTTTTAATTTTGCGAACATTATGTTACAGAAAATGAATATTGATATACACAAAATAGGCTGTGTTATTAATTAATTGTATCTATTATATAATTTATTATTTTGCAATATATTAGACTTAATTATTAATTATTATGTAATCTACAAGCAATGTTATAATATATAAACACAATATTACAGACATTGGTAGAATTGTGTAGAGAGATATAAAACTTTAAATATCTAAAAAAAATATTATAATTTTTATACTTGGAAAAAATAATTGTTTGTATGATTATTACGACACTTCAAAATGTGATTCTTTAAAGTTTTGCGCGTATGTTTGATAATTGTCCCATCGACAAAGTCAACAGATTGAAAAGTACATTACTGTGGTATGTCATTATCCCTTTGAATGAAGACAGAACGTTAGTTTGAGACCGTCTACCTCTCCCATAGAATCCTACAATACAATTCACATATCACCCTTCATATATCGTTTTATCTTCTCGCCATGACGCACGATAATACATAAAGGTTCGTTACCTTTTTTTTTGCCATTTACAGCCAGTCTACTTGAAGGCTAATCTCATCTCGGACGCAGGTATGATAGGCTGCTGCTACTTGCCAATTGCACCTGAGTTTTGCTTCCGAGTGCCCAACAGTTACCTGGAGTTGTTGTCCATGTTGCCTGATTGTAATAGTTACGCTAACGCGCGCGTTATTGACCGTTCGTCTAATCTGTTGCACGCAATACCTGTTAAGCATGATCCTTACACGCCAGATAGTATGGACAGTCCGAGTCCGAACGCGCTGACGGCCTCCGGAGAGGTCCCAGATCCATTTATCGATCACATCGGCAGTGACAACGCGACGTCGATACCGCGGTCAACTCAAACGTCGAACGCGTCGAGGCGACACATTGACCGAGCCGTGTCGCCGGCTTTACTGAAGTCCAGATTAGAACTGATTGTGCAAAATAAGAACGAGGATTCGGATCTGGAAGTAGTTTCGGATATCAAGAGGAGTCCCAGCGAGTGCCATTTGCGTTCTTGGCCTGATGCCGACGATCAGCAGTGGTGCGTAAGGAAAAACAGATGCAACAGCGACGTGTCGTGGCAACGTTCTCACGTTTTAACGGAGGCTTGGATCCAGAGCAAGGGTCAGCAGGGCTACCATTCCTTCAGTAATTTTGCGAACCGATCTTCCTCGAATTCGAGTCCCCCGGACATCGTCGACGGTTTACCGCCCGATTTGATCATACCACGAATAGCTATAATAAATGCGAGTAACTTCGAGTCGAATGCGAGCTCAGTGTACTTCCACGATGACAGATTGAGTAATTATTCGGAAAACAAATTGAGCACATACTCGGATGGTCGGACGAAAACGCTGAGCGGCGAGGCTGTGAGTTCGGAAAAGTCGGATGAGATTTGCGACAAGACGGATGAAGAAGAGGGCAACAGATTGAGCCTGAGTACAGATAGAATAGTAAGAAAGGAGAGTAACGCATATTCGGAAGGCCACGAGTCGGTTTCGAGTAAAGACTTGTACTTCGAAGAGGATAATAAAAAATTTATTGAAGACGAATGCGATATGTGCAAGGAGACGAAATGTCAAATAATAGAAGCGCAAGCTCTCGTGAGAGACACATTTTACGTGAAGGACGTTATTCCCGATAGGACGAATGATAAATTGACCGTGGAACGGGACGTTCCGGATGAATCTTGTTTCAAAAATGTACAGCGCACCGAAATTCTGTTGGAAAATCCACCGAGTTCTCAAGCATTACGAAGAAGACGCGATAAAACTGACACGAATCCGAACAGAATAAACGTGGAAATCAACGATACGCCGTACCAGAGGACTGACACAGAGATAAAGCCTCAGACGTCCTCAAGTCCCCCTCAATATATTGAGGGACATCTTTTGGACCTCCTCAAGACGTCCTGGATGTGTCGAGGTCCTCGAGAATCACTTGAGAATCACTTGTACTATCTCAGAAATCAAGATTGCGACAGCCATGTGATAAAAGTATGCCCAGATATACAAGCGGTAAGTCACGACGCAGAGATTATAAATTGTGAGAGCAAGCCGTGCACCTCGAAAAACTCGACGAAAACCAATTCGACGCATAGCCAGGATAATATCAATATTAGTGATCACGCAGAAAACCTTAGAGTAAAATTAAAAGCTTACAGAACTACTAAACGGTACAAGATTAGAAAGAACAACATTAGCGGGAAGCGGACTAGGTGTAGAAAGTGTTGTTGTGTAATATCCTGAGGATTCGCTTTAGTCTGCACTTAGAGTTTGTGTATTATGTTCCTTGTTTATTTATCGTATTGTTGTATCCACGCTGAATCGAGAGCAGAGAAATATCGACGGCTTCTCCTATTGGAAAATATCGCGCGGATATGGCTCTTTGTCAAAGTGAGACTTCTCTGTTCTTGATTTGTCTCGGATGCAACAATTGCCGTCGCCGTGATAGCAATTGGGGGGGGGGGGTACACCCTTTTTTTCTACTTACATAAAGTATTCCTTTCATAAACTTTATTTCCTTGTCTTCGTGCTGTTTTCTCGATGTGCTAAGTAGTGATCAAGTTAGCGTTAGTCATCATCGCTTGGTGTACGACTATAATTTATTTTCACATGGTGTATATATTATTGTTTTTGTTGACAATGTGGCTAATTAATCGTGAATCCAATACGTTTCTTGATTTGTAGATTGTACGAATGGTCATTGAAGGAATCGCATATCGCGAAAAATAAGACATTTTGTGTATTTATTGCCGTTGACGTTCTAAAGTGACCTAAGCGTGACGTGAAAAGAGAAGGATACAATTTTAGTTATTAACGATTTCTCGCTTACGCCTCGCGTTCGGTCGTGAAATATGAATTTCGTACCCGACCTCGTGCATGTCGCGTGAAACATATATCGATGTGAAACGAAGTTCTGCATGTGCATGGCACTCCAAATGTTGATGTTCTACGCATATTTCTTAGGAAATACCCGAGTGATATACAAAACTGTTTCCTCCTGTTATAGTCGTACAATTTATAACTAGTATAACAACGTTACGTAATGTCACATTATTTAGAGCGTGTGCATATGAAAGTAGTGATATATAGTTACGTCGCTGTACAGTGTCAAACAATACGTACAGACTGATGAGATCGTTACCAGTATACGAGGCACTTTTGCGAGCAGTGCTACGTTATCCTATTATGCTATTTTTAAACATAAAGTCCATCGTGTGCCGAGATCCTTGATACGCATTAAAAGGTACTCGTTTTCAAGGAAATTATTACCTCGCAGTGTTCTTGTCCTTGATTATTATTATATGTCCTTACGTTGCATACTATATGTATATATATATAATTGTTACGAAATTTTATCTTAGATTTATAGATAACGTGTACATACATATATATATGAAAGATTTTATTTATTATGTAATCATATCTATCCTCTCGTAATTGAATAGTATTGCCGTTGTATCGTCTGTGCCGTTCTAATGTTTCGCGTACGTATCACTTTCGTTCCACGATGTGACGAGAAATAATTCACGGTAATATCGCAAAACTCCCTTTTCTTTTCTTTCCAGTAAATTTTCTTTCTAGTACGCGCGAACGTATTATCACTGTCATACGTACTGCGCCCTTGCCAAGAACAGATCTATTCGCTGGATTTTCTTTACGAGCGCGTGGACTAAGTGGACTCTACTGCCAAAGCTAAATTCGTTGTTAGCCCGTTAAGCGAGAAGATATTAATATATGTGACGGAGATATCGGTCGCGCGCGAGAGCGACAGTGACGGAGGTTGCTTCGTTCGTTTTTATTATTGTTACGTTGTCGCCGTAATTGATCGTCCGGGGAAAAGTTTCAGGAGAGCGTCAGCTACGAGCATCCGGCATTATGTACGAACGAACGTGCCATCGTAACAAGGTTTTAACTAACGGATGAGAAGTCATTAGACGCGTTGCGCGAGCTGGAACGGGCGTAAAGGGGATCCCTCGAAAGTTTCCCCCGACTTGGGGGAAGTTTGAGCTTAACTTGTGATGTTAGCGTGCATTACTCCATGTATGTACCTCGGTTCGTCGGTGCTTCACCCTGCGAGTCTTCGTTGACGAAGAACACATCGCCGAACATATATCGCGAACGAAATAGCAAAGTTTTTTTTTTGTAAGGATGACACATGATAGGCAGTTCGATAGATCGGCAATTTTGGTATTTGATTACAGTCGCGATCTGTTTCGCTCGAATTCTTGCCACGCGGGCGAGACATGGAGTAATGTCGTGACAATTGTGACTTAACGTTATACCTCTCCCCGTTCGCGCTGAAACGATGCCGAGAGGCGGATCTGCCCGTGGGATTTGTGCATACGACAATTGTCCGAGGATCCGTTATCAATCGTTTCCGATTTGCCATACTAGTTTTAAAACGACGAATCTGCGGCCGACGGAATCGAGCTCGGAGATTCCGACGCTGTTGTACTGCATTTTTGTTTTATTTTCTACCGCGTAGAATAGGCTGATTAGGATGTATCGCGAATTCCTTCCGTTCGAGTGTAAATAGTTCGTCGACGAGACGAGCCTATATATATAAAATATTTGTGCCCTATTTTATAAATATATATAAATTTATTTTTCATACACGTGAACGTGTGCTTTCTTTATTTGTTTCCTTCAGCTCTTCAGTTTCTTCCTAAATAAAAATGCGATCAAACCATAATTCTAAGTGTGACGTAGAGCCGTGCTGACCATCTTGCGCTCACGGCAATCGCGAAGAAAGAAAATTGCGAGAAAAAACTCTGTTGGCGGCCTTCAAAAATATAACGAATGACGCAACCTGCTCGTCCTTTTGTTTTTTTTTTCCGATATGTTCTTGTCAGAAATACATACGCGAGGTAGTCTGTACGGAAAATGTCTCGAACGTCAATGATTCAGAATCGCCACGAGCAAAATGCGGCAAAATACATTTGTCAATTATATTATTTATAGATTTACTATTATATATTATTTATTAATTCGTAGGAAATACGGGCCATTTGCGAAGTCTTGTCTCGAGATTAAATAAAGCGAATTTCCGTTTAGATTAGAGACCTGTAGAAAAACATGCTAACGTGTGTCTTATTGTGTGACGCGACCGCCTATACGTATACCTATTGCTATTGAATGGCGATTTTGCTGCACTTCCCTTTTATATCTCGGGGTTATACTTATCGATTATTGCTTCACACAGCGCGTGTGTATATTTTCATTTAATTTTCCGCTCCGCACGTTGCGCACTTCCAATAACCGCTGGCAACCGCAAATCTCAATCGTGGAGCGCAGTACGGCAGATCCGTGGAGAGGGAAAAAAAATTTGAGAGTATAAATAATAACATACTATTCTCTTACGTTGCACCCAGACCTTTCGACATTTTCTCTCAGAATGTGTCGTCACACTCACGTTTCACCACGTAAACGGTCGATAACTTTTTACAAAAATCCGTCCTATTTATACGTCTTTTTAAACTATTCAGCAATATAATCCTGCTTATTCTTCATCTTTCACGTATTACTTGCTTACATTTCTGTTGTTGTCGCAGTTATATCTTTCACGCTCTTTGATAATTTTCTCGTAATGTATAATCGCAATTTATAATGACAAAACGTCGCCGGTGTTGCGGCGGGTCGTGGCGCGATTGTTCGAGAAAAGTGACACGGTAAGGATCGTAACACAGGTGCGCTTTATTTCTGCGATCTGCGTTGCTGCGTCTCGAGTGCAGTGTCATTAACCACCTATCCTAACACATTCGGTATACGAGAAGCTCAGTGCGAAATACAAATACGATACGCGTCTTTGATGGACCGTCTTCGATACAGGTTTCTCGCATACCCGACCACTGTTCGTACACTTGGTGTTTTAATCATTGTTTGTTGCATTGAGGGAGATGTATCTGTATAGTTTCAATAATTTTTATTGTTCTTTTGTGTATCGTTCTTACGCGAAACGACAATAAGAATTATCTTCATGTGGCATTAAAATACGAGATCTAATTCCGGAATAATTTTATTGTCTCTTTCGGCAATAAAAAGAGATTCGTAAATTAACGTCAATTAACTCAAGAAACATGGAAATTATTCCGGTTTAAGTCGCTCGCGAATTTAATCCCGTCAAGTAGCATCGTAAAGCCTCAGTTCTTGATGTCAATTTAGTTTCTTTTTTCAACAATGCACATGGTAACCAGTTGTCGCTTAGAAGGATATTGTCGTTCCTGGCTGCAGAAACGGCGAGGGAAATGCAGACGGAGGCGAAGTCCGGGCTGAGGAGCGGCGAGCTGCTCAACGGCATTAACAACAATAACAACAACGCCGTCAGAACGATAACGAGATACGTGCATACTAAGCATGCGGACTCGTCAGTGAAGATCTTCCGAGAGACGATGGTTTGATATTGCACTCCTGGATGACGTTTGTCGCCCACAGTAAAAAACGTCAATCACGTGTAAAACAAAAAATCGTGCGGATTAGTCATTAAAAATTGTTTAACCCTTTCAATACCACTTGGTCGGCTTAAACAGGCACGATACATTTCTAATGCGAATGAAAATAATAACGAGAAGAATGAAACTTTTGTATCGGCATTTTATTGGAAAGAAAATTTGATACATTTATTTTATATTGCACTTTAGCGATCTTTGGAAACACGTTTCAGCAATTTTTAACGAGACGAGACTTTTTATTCTGTTCTGTAATAAGCAATCCTATAAAATTCGGTATTGAAACGATTAAACGTGACGTTTATCGTCGATAAAATAAAATGAACGAACGAAATGTGAGGCACGTTTCCGTCGCGACGGTATATTAATCCGATCCATTAAACACTATCGCAAAATCCGAATACTATAACTACATTCCACTAGCGTAATCGGCAAAAGAATTTTGCAAGAAAGCGCGAGCCCCGAACGTTTGAAGCTGCAAGCTGCAAGCTGCGTGCCCTTAATACGCTATATGCAACAATCCAGGGGTTGCCTAGAACTCCGCGTATGACGTGTCTAAAAAAAACCGTAAAGGTGATGTGTAAAAGACGTCCTACACGTTTCGGTAAATCTCTAGGTTTCTTTTAGACATCTTGCGCCCCTTTGCGGACCGTTAAAGCATATACCCGCGTAATTCGACAGATCGCACTTTATATATATAGGTGTCAGGTTTCATACCCCTGCGGTATATCTCGTTGTTACTTTAAATCCAATCGGAACCCGAGAGCTTCCTTGTTTTTGCCAAAGGTATTATTTTTGGACGCGCCACGAGAGTCCCTCTCACTGCCTTCGTTCGCGCGTTTCACGTACGACCAAAGATTTTCTTAATATTTATTATTCGGCGCATCTAGTGCCGCCTTCCTCGACGATAATATTGCGAGATGCAAAATGTGTAGTGACACACCGTGCACTATATATACCGTGGATATATACGTTCGCGGTGTACAGGTCTTTAGATCTTTAACGTATTTCATCTCTCATCGGTTGTTCTTGTTGCGCCACGCTGTTAAATTCATTACTGTACTTACCGCAATCGATGTGCGTCTCAAGTACAACATCCTAATTATCTCTAAGATTACTTCGCGCGCGTTATACTTAATTTTTTAACTGTGTAAATTAAGGTGTACATCGTTTATTGTATAATATAAAGATGGGTAATGTTGTTAGAAGAAAATCGAAAAGGATTAAAGGATCGTCGACTCTGTGTGTATGTGTGTGTGTGTTGAAGTATAAATCAATATTTCCCAAAAAGTGTCACTCTTTATATGAGTTATCTTCCTGAAGCTTGACACTTCTTGAGGAAAGAGGATTACTTTGTGAATGTACCTCTTCGTGAGAACATATCGGAACATATTCTTCATATAATATTTATGTACAGAAGACAAGCCGATATCCACCTAGAGAGTACCTACAGAATAGGATGATCGAGAAACTTGCTAGTACTTAAGCGAAGTTATAATAGTCCGTATAAAAATATCTATACGGACGATATGCGAAAAATATTCACGAGTCGTTCTATCACGCGATTCGCTGTGCCAATCCGTTCCATCTTAGAATTTTGCACACGTTTAATATAAATGTAAAAAACCCCTTCACCACAGACGTGAGTTCCGTAAACGAAGTTGTTGGAAACCTCGTTAAAAGAGATATGCATCCCGTACTTATAGATTCGTTTCGGAACGTTGGTTAAAGTTAAACTGAAGTTTGAGCGATTTCTTCGTCTTTTCCTTTCCCGATGCGAGCTGTAAGAAGAGATAGGAGGACGTAACGTTTGCAGGAGAGCAGTCCGGAGATTGCTGGCGAAGAATGTGTTAGATGATGCGTAGATGCTGGGTCCAGTCGCATTTTCATCGACAATTTATAGACGTTAGCTCTCGATATGTCATTTTTCAAAGTGCGTGTATTGGAAACACTTATCATGGCATTCCACGGAAATTAGTCGATTAATTCGGATTGATGTGCTAGTATCTTTGTATTGTAGACTCGCGGGGCTCCTTTGCGCTTCGCTACGTAGGAAATTCGGTAGGCAAGCTCTTCCTTTGTGTCGTTAGTCGAATCGTAATAGTGCTTTTACATGATGTCCACATTCTTCCGGAAATAATTTTTAATCGCGAACCGAAAATCGCGCCTTTGACCGCGGTGATTGAACTAATAAGTCGATAAGTCGATCTAGCGAAACCGTTCGCTTCGGTGTCCGTTTCTCAGCTTTTCATTTAATAAAAGGTTTAAAGAGCGGACGAAAGACGGAGGAACGGGCAACGCTATATTCACGTTCATTTTGATCAATGCAGATTAACTTTAATCTTGGTTTAACTTACCTTTTATCTTTTTTCAATTCTCAGAACTAGAAAAAGATAAAAGGTAAGTTAAATCGAGATTAGAAAGTTAATCTACATCGGTAAGAAATGGACATTAGCGATTTAAATGTGCGATGGAAATTATGGAACCTTTATTTCCACCGCTTTCACGATGTACGTTGTTGAACTCTGATGTATACGTTGTTGGACATGCATATGGATGTCTCGCTAAAATATTGTAATTCTAAGTGTCACCGTGATATAATACATTATATAAACCAGAGAAACAATAAGAAACGTCACGAAGATCTTCTCGGTTTCACACGTCTTTCGGAATGTTTATAAGTGTTATGAACTCTTTTTACGGCGTTAAAGATAAATTTATACTTCTGTCCAAACGTAACGCTCTTAATATCGAAACAGCTGCTATTAAAAGCCTTAAACGACTCATTTTTCCGTATAGCGTAATTCTATATTTGTATCGCAATTCCGTTCCATCGTCGATCCAGGAGAGATTCTCCTTCGGAATTCTTCTGAGCTCAATCTTGATGTCAGCCTTCTCTTGAATGTTCTTTTATTCTCCATTCATTAACGAGGGAAGAAAAACTGTCGGGTGTTATTCATTATCTGCGTGGCGATCATTTCTGAGATGTGCGAGGGGAAGTATTATTTTTTGCGGTCGGGAGGCGAAGTTGATGTTGTACTTTTATAAACACATGCGTACTTACTTGTATTTTGTACCGATAGCGTCTCGGCATTCACCGGCGCGATGACCCGACGAGACGCGCAGGATCGCGAAATCGCGATGCGCGACAGAACGCGGAGACGCTACGTCGACAATTATCTGGAAGATACGAGCGACGCGCTCATTTCATGTTGTACCAATGTTGTAGGAAAGGAAATAAAGTTACGATCCCATAACTCGTACTGGACCGAGATATTGTGTTCTATATGTTTCTGATCGATACCTACTCCGACTCCGATTGATTAGCGTTTAAACGTTACATTTTTTTTTCTTTCGAGAGAATTATAGTATTTTCTATTTGTTAACAGACAATATTTTATTTAAGTATAATATGAATTTATTGTTCCAACAAAAAGCTGTGTTTTAAAGACATAAAAAATCGGCGAGTTTACTGAGTTTGGAAAAAGTATACAAAATTCATACAATATTATTATTAGGCTACCAAGATCCAGTCTAGACCGAAGTCTTTCTCTCTAATCGATTGTATTTTATTTTGTTCATGCTCTAATTAAGCAGCAAAGTATTGATCTGGTGAATTCCACTATTCCTATTGTTTTAAAAGTGCCTTCTACGCAATATGTTATTTTTTTAATATTTTATTATTTTAGTTAAAATATTTTATACATTTTTTCTTTTACTTCTTATTTTTCTCTTCTTCAATTATTGTGCGAGTTTGATCAACTCCGCGAGGTAAAAAATAGAGAAAATTGATGAAGTATAAATTATGTGCGCGACAGAAAGAAAGAGAAGATCATATATATCTGCCCTCTTCTAGAATCCGAAGATAGCCGAAGCCACTTCAAGTGCACGTGCGTACGTGCGTTTTCTTTCGTATGTGTGTGTATCGATGTATCCTATCCTGGAAGAAAGGGGCGTCGATCGATCGATCGAGCGTCGTGACGATCGGGGCGAGGGACGCGGCGCGGGGAATGCGGTAGTCGCGTGCAGGAACGTGAACGTAGCTCCGAGCAGCTCCGGAACGAAGCGGGGACGGCGGGAATCCGCGGGGATCGATCGATCGCGAGCGAGGAGCGGTGGGTTGTAGAAGCGGGGGAAAGGTGGAGGGTGGAGGGCGTATACGCCGCACGTTGGCGGGGGTCAGTGATCGAGAACGCCACGCTGCTTTGTTTATGCGCGTCGTGGGATTTAAAGCTGGGATTTAAAACGACGGCGAAGGGAAAGGGCCTGGCACTTGGCAGAAGACTTCGAGGACGGAAAACTCTCCGTTTTGAAAAACTCGAACGCCTCGGAGGACAATAAACGTGAAATATATGTTTTAAAATAAGTGGATGTATGTACATAATAAATAAATATATATATATATATATGCATATGCATATATATTCATTCAGTTATTTATTATAGCATAAAAACATGCATATTCGACGTATTTTTAGTTCAATAATTAATTCCTGATTAATTCCCAGTTCGTGCCTCGGAAAGCAAAAGGAGAACGATTTTCGAAAGCGTGGGGAACGTAAACAAGATGAGTATATTGAGTACATCACGGAAGGCACAGAGGCACGCGAGCGGGGCACGCCGAGATACTCACGCTGATCTCGGGAGCCACGAGGGCGTCGGGAAAAGCTGTGTCTCTCGAATAGACGGGCGTGAGAGATAGACGCGAATCGACAAAAGAAAAGTCACGCCTTAAACAGTTCCCTAAAACAAAAAGAAAATTAACATCCAGATCTCCCATTCGATTCCTAAATTGAAAGCTTAAAGAAATGGAAAACTGATAGCAGAGGAGACACATAGAACTTGGCGAATATCGAAAATATAAAATAAAATGAATTTATATAAATCGTGATCAGCTTCTTCGTAAACCTGTCGGACTTGTATGCTCGATGATACGCTGAGGATACAAGAAATAACATTAACTTCGTCAAATACCTTCCTTCTTTTTTTTTATTAATTTATTTCGGTATTGTCGTAGCCGATTTATATCGCACACTCGCATGTAATTATCTTCTTAAGTTCATAAATGCACTAGCCAAAAAACTTTTTAAAAAATTGACCTACATTCAACGATTTCTCGCACGCTATTGAGATACATTCGTCTAGATTTTTTTATGATTGTGCGAAATAATTACATGCGAATACTGCCTAATTCTCGTGTACACTCGCTGTCTATAGTTACATAAAGGGTTCGATGAAAAACAATTCATTCGCGTGTACCAAAGAGCCGAGAAACTTTCGGAAAGCTCATTGCTTCGGTTTGTCCCTTTTTCGCAAACGTCACCCTCGATGCGTACAAAAATAACGCTCGTTCTTTGTTAGAAAAAAATTTGATCAAGCTACTACAATACTATCTACAACGGTGCAAGTTACTCGCTGTAGAAAGACTAACATTTTTAACCGTCACATTTAACTGTACATCCAACTTGTATGGTGCACGTGTTGCTGAACTGAAAAAGTTGGAAACATATACCGCCAGTGTCTTGGTGCGTCAGTCGCGCAAACCAAACTTAATTAATTTTGCAATTAGAATCGTGCAATCGTTACTTCTCTATCATTTTATCACACTGTTTATTTGTTAAATAATATTGTGTTGTATTTACATACATCCTGAATCACGGTATTTATGTATGAGTTTCTTTGCAATCCGAAGAGTTTTCTATTGTTTCGTCAGAAAATGTACAATATAGCGTAAACGACGCTACAAAATGTAGAAGAGTAGAAAACTTTCGGTATACGTTGCCGTTACTTAAATATAAACGTTCTCCTAAACGTTGTACAACCGAGAATGCGTTTCGAGACGGCTGTCGACTTTGTACTTTCCATAGTATTTCTGAAATATCTTTCTCGCTACGTCGTGATTAGTGTTATTAGGAAATTGACGTATCTAATCTAGTCGAATACAGAACGTTCGTCTCACTACCTAAATAATGTTTATACGCTTTAAGTTATTGCTCGGCGTTAAGTAGCTTCTTTCAGGCCACGGCACGCTCACGATAATCTTTTCTCAACGCAATCGCACGCCAAAGTGGGTTACTGACTCCACCAAAAACGCGTGCGACACCATAAATAGTATCTTCCTATGTACATGCGTAACGTGTACTTAATTTATTAGTATTTACAAATACACAGATTCTCAGATTGCGACTTTCGTCCATGAAAGTCTCTTCTCAAGCCCGAGTTTCCTCCAGGTTCGTTCACTTCTCGCCGAAACTGTGCTTCCGCCACATTTGCAATCTATCATTCTTTCTCTGAGCAATATCACCTACATCTGCAAACGATATAGGGACAATTATAAATCTCTACAACTGGAAATTTTGCATATCGAGAGATCCTATGTATGTGGCTTTACCACACCTGTCGCACCGCGATCCGTCTCCGTTGTTATATCGCCGTTTAACGGTTCCGATAGCTTGATCTTGCTGACCTGCTGTTGATTCTGCATCTCGGACACAGTCGCGAACATTATGCTGGTAGAGTTTTTCAGCCCGTTATACGATTGTTCCAATTGCTTGAACTTGCCAATTAGTTCCACGTCGGTTGTGCGTATCTCGTTCATCTGTATTAATTAGATATTAACGATTATATCAAAATGCCGATCAATAGAATCTCGTATTCGATACGCACCTTCTCTGTCAACTGCTGAATCGATGCTAGAACGGAAGCCTGCTCGGACATTTTAACACACTCTCCTTGCAATGACATCATTGTTGTGTTAATAGCCGCCGTCGCTTCTTGAAGCGAAACTAAGTTTCTCTGCAACGATAAAGAAACGAGACGTGACTATTTAATACTTCAAATGTTATTACAAAATCTATACGCCATATATCGCTACACCATACTTACGCGATCTTTGTTTTGATCATCGGCGACCCATTGTAATTTGCTCGATAAGGTCTCGTTAACATGCGTTAAATTATTCATTAAATGCAATATTGTGAGGTTCAGTTTGTCAGTCTTAACTTGCGCTTCGTCGGTGCTCAGTATTTGAGGTTTTTGAGTAACGTTCGACAATTCTACCAGGGTGTGCTACAAGAACGTTATAAATTTATTAATAATTCTTTCATCTATTTTCATCTATTCATTGATTCATGGATATATTATGGATATAAAGTTATTTGTGAATTATATATAACTAATATATATGTATATTAGTTACATATATTACATAATTTATAACTTATTTTACACAACATCGTACGACGAATGTTGAACAAATCAAACTATATCGATTCGTATTTACCTTAATACTGCTGATGTTTTGTTGCATGGTGGTCTGTGCATCCTGCACCCTCATGTTCGTCTCTTTCAGAGTTTTCACCGTGGCCCCGAGATCCCTTATTTGACTGCCAAATGTTGCTACGCTAGTTGACAGCTCGTCCAAGCGTTTCGGCAAATTGGCCATTTCGGGCGCGGCTTGGAAGTACTCCTGCACTTTATGCAAATCTTGTTGAATGTGTGCCAGCTGTAAAAGTATATCGATCCGGAAGGTCGTGAGTCATCTCGCGCCACAGTATTGCAGTATCGAATTATCGATGTTACTTGTGCGGTTTTACCTGTACCGTGAAATTATTTATCTGCTGCTTGAGATCAGACAGCCTGGAGAAAATTATGGTTTGGTTATTCTGCAGATCTCTCGACAATGAATGGCATTTCTGCAGAGCGTCCGGGACACCCTCGCTGCCCGCTATCACTATAACATAATACAAGAAATTAAGTACAAAAGTGTGAAAAAAATTAACAAAATCACGCGGTATTATAACGAATTCTAAATTCTGAAAGGTTCTAATTAAAAATATTTGCAGAAATCGGTTTTCTAACGCATTTAAACCTTTAGATATAAAACAACATTTAAATATAAAAACAATTTTTGTACATTTATAACGGTATTCAGGTTCGTGCTTATTTGTTCGCATTTTCGAATTAGGTACAAATAATATTCGCTCTTTATTGACTTGATTTGACCGCTTAATGCCGGACTTCGCGGATGTTCGACCAATACCTTGGTCTAACTCGGTTCGCAGGGCGGTAAGCTGTTGACGAACATCGATGAACAACCATATCAGGCTCGCGGTCGCTAATACGGAGGCACATGCCAAAAAGGCGTTGCAGGCCTTAAGAAACCCGGGACAAGCGCGACTCCTCCTTCCCCTGCACTTGCGTCCATTTCTGGTGGAAACGTTCCAGTATTCCGAACGATCGTCGCTGCTGTCCGTCAATAATTCCTACAACAAAAAAAACGTAAGAGAAAGCAGCTATAATTCCAATTAATCAGCAGTGACAAAATAGCGATGTAATCCTCATTTGTATTACAGTCATAATTTTTTCTCATAACTCATGTATCATTTCTTATCTTCCTTCTTGACATAATTTTGTTTCGTCGTTTTCAGGCACATTAGTGGAATACTTCCAATAGACGAGTCATTATCCACGTTTATGACTTTTATCTCGTTTTTGGAGAACAAATGCAAGCATCGACACACAAATAAATTCGAGAGGATTTTGTCTTCGTGTTTGCTCCCAGAATCATCTCTACACCGGTGCCAAATGTATTTTTCATTATCTATACATTATGTACTCGGAAGAGAGTCTTGCTACCCATTATTTACTTATTTTTCACCGACTCGCAGACTCAAGGATCGTTGTTCCTCGCGAGGAGGAGACCGACGTCGAAAATTAATTGGTCTTAAAATCACCTGCGAGCTGCGTTTCCCGGAGCTCCGGCGAGAGATAGCGTGCGCCGGTGCCAGGGCGTCGAGCTCCTTCCGCTTCTTCATCTTCTTCGTCGGCTGACGAAGCGGCACCGTCACCGCCACCGAGTCCATCTCAAGTAAGACCGCGCCGCCTATTTTTCAAGGGTTTTCCTCGGCGGGCCGCCTCCCGATTAACACACTTCACTCTCGACGTCCCCCGACGGGCACCGCACGATCGCCGCGAGCTCGCAGAATCGCTCCGCGATCGCGCGCGATCATCTCTCGGTTATCAGCGAACAACTGCTCGATCGCCGCCGGCGCTCACACTCGCGGGAGAAGCTTGCGCGATTTCTCGATATGCGAGCCCGGACGGTGCGGCTGCTCGGAAATTAATCGGCCACGAAAACCTTCGCTTCAGTCTACATTTTCGTCCGACGCTTCCTCGCTGTGTTTTCAGGATTTGGTTGGTGCACTTTAATCAAGTCACACGGCTCTCGTTAAACGTGTCTCGTATCTACGCACACTCGTTAATTAATTGCATTCCTAAAATTAATTGCACTTCGCGGATAAATTTCTTGTATTTCGAATAATTGTGTAATAATGAAATGAATGGAACGATGTTGTGCGGCCGAAGTTAGTGTGTTGCGATCAACGCCTACGTGAAGTTTCAGAAAGGATAATAATTAAATTTGAAGGCTGATTAGCACAAACATCGTAAAAAAATATAGCCGATGTAAAACACATTAATCTAAAAGAGATGTCAATAGATGCCTTCACAGAATTTCTCAGGCAATTTCGTCTGATTAGGAAATTAATTCCGAATTAATGTTAAATACACTGTTGAGCAAATTGCTAGATAAGAACAAAATATTTTAATGTTTAATATTATGCAAAGAACATAAAGATAACCGCTGGATCGTGAAAGATTACAGCATTAATTATTACACGAAAGATTACACGATTAATACTAATCTTAATCAATGTTTCTCGACAACCCTATCATTAGCTTTCCATCTCACTGACATTTCCAGATTAATTCATTAGATGTCGATCTTTTAATCGAGTAATTTCAATAAATCCAGATACCTAACGGGGGACCACTCCTTTACGATAGTTGCCTATCTGAAGAGCCAGTTTTAAATCGATTAAAGTTTAATTAACGATTTGTTATCGTAATGAAACAATGATCGCAATACACGATAAATAATACATGTCACTGCAGACAAATCGACTGCACAACCAGACGCGTTCTTACATCACAATTTCACAAAAAAAAAACAGGAGAGGAACCGGTTCGAAGTAGGAACTGGAAGAGAAGAAAAGGACCGCGTTGTCACCTGATTGCGTCGTGAAAGTCGGGGGATCGTTGTTATTTTACGGTTCGGACTTCGAGAAACCGTGTGGAGAACTTTGCGTGTTGAACGTCGCAACGACACATTCGTCACTGAGGCAAGAGACTCTTATCAGCCGGCCGGCACCTGGCCAACCGCGTTTGCTGTTCGCACACGCACGCACGTACATACGTACAAGTACGTACGTACGCACGCACCGATCGAAAGGCCGGCTCTGAATTGAAAGCACGTGATACGCAACGACATACGGTGACTATTACGCCTCAAATGAAAGAACGTCTGCGTCGAAATTGCTTGAGAAAAAGGCAGAGAGCCGACTGATAAGAGCAATCGTTGCCGTGGCGTTAATCCCTCCCAAGACTCCTCTTTGTATTTACTGCTCGTAGACTCGTTCGATAAACGCGATAACAACGGATGCGAGATGTGTCTTAAATGTTTTGTCGCGCCAATGATGTTTTGTTCGTGATAATCTGATACGACAGAGGAGGTGTAATTTGAGCAAAATTTGTTGATTCTGGCCAAGGTAATTCGATGATCCACTTTAACAATAAAGGAGTCACATTTCACTTCGCGAGCGAAGACCTGGAATCACTCATTTCGTTTTCTGCTTTAAACAGAGCTATGCAAAGCAGATACGGAAGGAAAAAGGAATGTGCGGTGTCGATATTAATTTTTGATAATAAAATCGATTGGATAAGAGCAAGTCCGATGAGCTACTAATATTGTATGTCTTCTTTATGTCAGTCGTAATTGGACTTTTTGGCTCGCAATTGACTGAGTAAAATCTACGTGCGATGATAAGTATTATCACGACATTTAACCGTCAACATCTCAGTTGATATTACTATTATATGTTATTATTGAAATGATGAAACTATTATGGCCGCTACGAAACGTCGAAAGTTTATTCGCTCAACAATTCTGTCGTTTGGAATCCCTTAAATATCTGTCCTTATTTCAACGCGATTTAAAATCTAATTTTCAAGGGTTTCTAGCGCGACGTTAATTCGATGCGACTCGGTCGTCTGGATGGAAACGCGTCGCGACACGATTACACTATGCGGCCCTGAATTCGATAAGATACCGATGTGCAAGGAAAAAAAAGAGGACTTTGTCGTTCGTGCTAGTTTCGAGTTTCGAGGTGTATTATGTTATTCATTGGGCTACCGATAAAGTAAATTTTCCAGACTAAAAAGTATCAGCTCAAGTTATTGAGAGAGGACCGTTGCAAAACAAGATAGAAATGTCTGGAAAATTGATTTTATACAACCACGATATACAATTTTTACGTACGGCGACTTTGGAGTTTCGGCGTATTTACGATGTGTATACAGAAAGGCAAATATGCCGATTATGCATATCTCGCGAGTCGACGTACCAAACAAGCGTGATTTCGCGTGTATAACGATAAGTAAGACAACTCGATTACTGTATAATAATCGATTCCACTTAATCGCTACAACCCAGTTCCCCTCTCCTGCCGGTATGTAATTAAATCACGTGATTGCGCACGTTATCGCGGGCGAATCTTCCGCGGCGTCACGTATTTTCGAATTCTCTTCGTGCGCGTTGCGTGTAGCTCGGAGAATGCATCGCGAGGTTGCGTTAACGCGCAGCGACGAAGAAGAGGTGGAAGTAGCTACGTATATCGGCGTTAACGACGAACATTAGATGTCTCGCTAATTAAACGGATGTTGTTTGGCCATCCGTCCTCGCGCCGATATACGCAGAACTTTTGTGCGTAATAGCTGACTAATCCTGTCGATTAATATTTAATAACGCGATGAAGCATCAGCCCTTCTTCGTCGGCGCTTCTTACATAAAAAAAACCACAGTCGACTGCTTCAAAAAGGTACACACTGAGAATTTCTAATACGTGTGTTACAATTCTTAATTTTAGATAAATAAAGATACAGGTCTCGACTATTAAGCATATTAAGTGAAACAACAAGCGAAAAGAAGCGGCTGTTACAACATACTAAGTACGCTCATTAAATATCAAGGAGAGAGGAACGCGAAGCCACGGAAGCGACGTCGACTCGATACCGGGGTTTCCGCACGCGGGTGTCTACTCAAATATTTATTGCATTTGCGTCAGCAGGAAGGTAGAGTAGGTACTCGCGTGCTCGACTCGCGTGCGCGACTCGTACCGACGACATATCTCGCCTTCCGCGTTAATCAGGGGAAACATCTCTCTTCAGGTGAATAGAAAAAAAGAAGTAGAAAAAGGAAATAGAGTGAATTTTCTCGCGGTCGGCACCAAGTGTGTCCGATCCTGTTCGCGTTGACGCGATCCCCTGACGAGTAAATCCGACAAAAGTCGGGGGGGGGGGGCCGCCTCTCCGTAGATTTCAAATGCAAATCTATGTAAATGCCAGGGACGATTTTACGCTCCTCGTAGACTCCTCGTAGCGTGCAAATCAATTTTGTCGTCACTCGCTTTCCGCATTATCTAATTTATCGCCTCCGTATTTATTTTATCCGCATTTGTGCTCCGTGTCCTTAATTCTGGCTATTAGTATTTTCTACGTTTTTAAAAATTCTTTTTCTCCATTACCTGGAAAATTAATATCCTAAATTAATCTCATTCAGACATCAAAAATATTTTTGCAATCGTTTTTCTTTTTTTACTTTCGATTTCCATATATATTTTATTTGTGGATGTTTTTCATGTTTTATCTGCGAGACACCTCCATTTTCAATATGAAATATTAATCCTCAGAATTATATTATATCACATTGATTTTAATCATACTTAAGTATCTTCGATCGTTTTTTTTTCCTAACTTATCCGAAATTATCCCTCTGACATTCACATTCCACCGCATTCGCGGTCCACATTTGACAATCGAACGAGGACGCGACGCTCCTCGAAATTCAAGCAGGAGGAAGAAGAGGAACAGGAAGAGTGAGTGGCGAGCTTTCACACAGCGAACATGCAGAACTTGACCTACGAGGGGGATGAATTATAGAAGCGATTCTAATCGATTACCGCGCGGCGGACGGAAACGGGCGGACGGCGGCGGCGGCGTCGTCTCGCTTTTCCTCAGGGCTAGAGAACCCTCGAAGAACGAACCGCGGATCGGGAAACAGGGGGGGAAGGGGGACCACAACACGCCGGTGCCCCAGGATAACACTCACGAAGCCGTCGACGAAACTCCGCGGTATCGCGAAGCGGCGGCGGCGTCGCGACGCGGCACTCTCTCTCTCTCTCGCCAGCTGCGCCGTCGTCCGATATCGACTCGCCGAGGGTTGGTGGGCGACTGAAGCGAAGCCCCGCGCTTGGAGGGGTTTCCCTGATAAGAACCGTCACGGCACATAGGGAATTTCGAACGTCGCGAGCAACGCGAATTTGATAAGGCTGCGAATTGGATTCGATTATTCTTATCACGAACGTATTTAAATACTCCGGAACAATTCCACTCGGGGTAGTTAAAAGAGAAGGATGAATTAGTAGCGATTATGTATTTCCATTTCCATTTTTAGAGATAAAAAATGATACTCTCACCCTACTGTTATTACTTATTACTGGTAGGCTTCATAACAACAGTATTGTTGCCTCAACAATTGCATGTACTTCTTTGTCTCTCTCACATTCTGACATTCTACATAATATTTAATCTCTTGTAGTTTTCCATTGTTGCGCATTGTAATTTTATTATTAATATTATTATAATTGATAAAGCAGTAATGATAATGGATTCCATATCGGGGAAGCATTTGTAGAAAATAATTACATACTAGATACTTGAAAATTGAAACGTAAATAATTGCAAGTAAGCGCATTTAATTAACGTTGAATCAGTGTATATAATAAAGATCTCTTCTTTAATCAGATTTATATTAGGCATTCGGAAAATACAGTAGAAGTACGTAATACATAAATACACGTCGATTATGTGATAATTTTAACGAATACTGTCATCCTTAATTTATGTAACAGTCATCAAAATGTTTGTCCATTACAATCTTCAAAATACACACGAATTGTTCGCAATTAATCGTTTGCAAGCATATAAATTTCATCGACGCAAACAATTAACGATACCTAGAAACATGGTTTAAAGTTTCCAAGGGAGGGAGAGATATGACAAAAGGTAATGAAACGTAAATCAACGTACGCATATCGGAGGCAAACAAATTTAATTAGAACCTTTCCTCGCTTAATTCCGACATCTAATCGCTACTTACCAAGAAGTAGAAAAAAAGTTATATACCAGAGATAGGGTTTACCTGACTTTATAGACGTATCCATTTTCTTAATCTCGCCGTACAGTATAGCCGCCAGCCAAGACAGAGCGATCAGCCAAAACGTAATTAATACCGCCGCCAACCACAAGGATATGATCCGCATATCCGACTTGTTGCATCCGCAGGAGTCGCTGTGCCGGCTCCTGGACAACATCCGTGATCTGTGCCGTCTGCAATTGAAAAATACCCGCCCGTCGCGACGCTAGTAATTAAGGATGCCATCCGTAAGCGATAATCTCATTAGCCGAATAAATCCACCGAGACTGGTTGTGGGACAAATAAATTAAGTAATTAGTACCGCTTGACTTTCTTCTTCTTCTGGGGCGCGAGGATCAGGTCGGTGCTGTCGGAATCGCTCTCCGACAGCAGATCGAGCAGGTTGATGGTCTCCTTCGGGTTCGGCTTCTCCATCCTCGCCGGGGGATGCTTGCGTCGCGTGTCACGATTCCCCGTGACCGTCGGACGGCCGTGGCCGAGCGCAACGTGACATCATAACCTCCGCGATTTATTATCGCGCCGCGCGCGAACGAGCGTCCCGATAGAATTGTCCTCTTCTTCTTCTTCTTACCGAGCAGACGAGCGTACCTTCGATCGGGCCACACTTCGGCGCAAGTTCTACATGCCGTGCTAATTCCTTGTCGTATTTCGCGAGTCAGAACGAAGCGAAATGCAGTTCACGTACTCGCACTTGTCACAACATAACCTATAAAATAAATCTGTTCCCTTTCACATTCACATCTGTTTCCTTTCACATGTGCACTTTCTGCACTTTTCTCGAGTTTTTCTTTCCTTCCCTTTCCTTTGTTTTATTCTCTCTTTAGTCTCTTTATTTTCTCTCTCTCTCTCTCTCTCAGTCTCAATGCAGAAAGTGCAACTGCGCAGCTGAAAATAAGCGATAGCCGAACGACATCTGTCGGAGGGGCTGTTCCGTCGAATTATTCGAATCTGAAAATCATATTTGTTAACAGTAGATATATTTTGAGAAATTTTAAGATTTTGTGTTTAGGTATTTTCTATGTTTTTTTTTTTTTTTTATCTTTTCTCTTTCTTTCCCCAACGCGTCGTTATTGTCTTTCAAAAATGTAACACAGTGCTGCTATCTTCTTCACTCCGAAGAAAGGAATTGGTCGAACAATCGCGAGGAGCAGGAATTTCCTTTCGCGAAATTTCCCGGCGAAAAGCGTAAATATTCTGAAAATAAAATGCAAACAAAAAAAAGATTACTTAAACAATTATCGACGACGAGAAGGTTCTCATCAGATATATATAGCGAAACGTGTCACATTTATGAAATATGTAAACTCGTAGTGCGCAAAAACACTTGAGAGCCCCCGGGTCTCTTTTGTCCTCATTGCGCTCGCAATGAGATTATTTAGCGCCGAGAAAATATATTTGCACTTCTCTTGGATTCCTTTATGCCTCATTAGATTCAAATATTCGCGAAAACGTCGCGTTGGCGTGCCGTCATCTGGCCGTTTGGTTGGCTGGATGTGACACAGCCGAATTTCAAACAGCATCAGCTATGCCGACATCTTGCCTTCTAGACGTCCAGTTAAAAAAGAAGAGAAAAATCGGGGGGGAAAAAATATATTAAATTGCGTGACTGCAATTGTACTTATAATTCGCGCAGAATTTTATTACATGCCGCGTATTTTCGGAAAGCAATAATTAACATATCCAAATGAGAAAAAAGACGTTTTATTTGCACATTCGCGACTGTCGAAATTATATTAAAAGATCGAGTATTAGCAGGAGTAAATAAATAAGAGTCTGGACAGGATTCCCGACAGTCTTAATGCTAATTTGTACTTACCCGATCGACGATGACCAGTTGCTCCATTGGAACGGTCCGTTCACCAATCCTATTGTGTTTGACAAAAAAGAAACGTAATCGCGCGTGACACTGGAAGAGATTGAGAGAACCAAAACTGCTTGACAACGATATCACGTACAATTCCGAACTCACAATAAGGAATTTCAATTTGCAGTGAATTTCACAGATTATTTTCTCGTTGTACACTTTCAGGCGCAGCC